TGTGTTGTGAAGCTGGGAATACGGTATTCTAAATTGAAGAGGTGCAGCATAACTTTGTTTTCAGCTGGGAGTTTTTGTGTCTTTGGTGGCAGGAGGGAGAATTTAAACAGGCAGCTCTTACACCTCCTGTGCCAGATCGTGCCCTGGGAAGGGTCAGAGTTACTGAGGGCGACTGGGGAGTGGTCAAGGGTTCTGTGGAAGAAAGTGCTGCTTTTGGAATACTGACGGGGGAGTTGGAGTCAGGAAGTTGGAACCATGCTGGAGTTTGGCGAAGACATTGTGAGTGCTGGGGCTGGTTGTGGTGGAAGGTGAGGGCATGGTGAACCCTTTCTTGGTCTGGGAGCAAAGGGAAGAGGCAAGAGTAAATGTGCATGAGATGGAGAAGACCTGATCAAGGACTTTGTCAACCATGGGAAGGGGGAGTCTTCCTGAGGAGAAAGGAAGGCATCTCAGAAGCATTGTTGTGAGAGGTTGTGTTGTCACATATGATGTGACTGAGCTGGAGAGATGGGGAGAATAGGACAAATCCTGTGGTTAATAAATGCAAGGAAGTGTAGTCATGTACTTACACTGAAAATTAGGAAATAACTCATCCCAGAAGTGGAGACAGATGTTGAGTGGAAGGGAAGAGTTAGAGATGGACCATGTGAAATTGACAGAAGGACGCAAACTGGAGGAAAAGGGAGAGTTTGAGAACGTGGGACCTTCATGATAACTTCAGCCAATGTAGGAATTGAACCCGTGCCATTAGCATCACTCTGTATCGCAAGCCAGCCATTCAGGCAACTGAGCTAACATGGCAATTAAATGTCAATGTGTTAATGTGGGATTAGATTTGATAATTTAAGAGCAGCAAGTTTCCACTCCTCACTTTGGATTTTTAATCACCATTTGATAGCTTTCCAGTCACTTGCTGATATCTGCTTTATTATTTTCAGGTTATTGTAAAACTGATTTTCAAACCCTTAAACACCAGTAGTGGGATTGGAATCCCTGTCCTCTGGGTGACCAGCCCTGTACATTCTCTACTCCCACCATATCCTTTTGCTTTTTATCAGTGTACATGGCCTCTAAGTGAGCAAGTGTTTCTTAACACTTCTGCTTGCCTCTGAGTTTTGGTTAAAAATAGAAATTTAAAAGGTTAAAGGGTGATCTAATTAAAATGGTGAAGATACTTAAAAGGAGTTGATAAACAGGGAGACACTATATTTCCATTTGTTGGTAGGGGTGAGAGTAGAGTCCAGAACAAAAGGGATCATAACCTGAAAATTACAGCCCAGTCATTCAGAGCTGGCACCAAGAAGCACTCCTTCATACAAAGGGTTTGAAATTTAAAATGACCGACTGCAAACACCCAAGACTGAAGTTCAGTTGAAATGTCAACATTTCGATGAATGCATTTTTGTGGGATGTGAGAGGGAAAATGGAGTTAAGATACAGATCTGCTTTAATCTAATTATTTAGAGCCATAGAGTTGTACAGCACAGAAACAGACCCTTTGGTCCAACTCGTTCATGCCGACCATATATCTTAAATTAATCTAGTCCTATTTGCCAGCATTTGGCCCATATCCCTCTAAATCCTTCCTATTCATGTACCCATCCAGATGCCTTTTAAATGTTGTAATTGTACCAGCCTCCACCACTTCCTCTGACAGCTCATTCCAAACACTTACCACCCTCTACATGAAAAAGTTGCCCCTTGGGTCCCTTTTGAAACCTTTCCCCTCTCGACTTCAAACCTGTGCCCTCGAGTTTTGGGCTCCCTACCCTGGGAAAAGGGCCTTGGTTATTCACCCTATCCATGCCCCTTCATGATATTTTGGAACAGATTTGAGTGGCTGACTGGCTTCTGTTTGTAATTCCTTAGCGTGTAATAGGAGCTGTGTGAAGGACTCTTGTGGTGCCATGGTTTTTATTCATTCATGAGATGTGGGCATTGCCCGTCCCTAGTTGCCCTTGAAATGGTGTTGGTGAGTTGTGGCCTTGAATCACTGCAGTTCCCGTGTCCCTAGCTCTGGACCAGGAACCCTATGTTCAAGTCCCATCTGCTCCAGAGGTATGTCGTAACATCTCCAAACAGTTTAATCAGCGATAACACAGAAAGAAAAGGAAGTTGTGTCGATGTCAGGCTAGGAGGAGATTGGTGTAACTGGGGGATTATGGCTGAGGTAAGACCACCCAGGAACCTCCGCGATAACCCTGACCTGGAATTGCTCAATGTTTTACATGCAGAGGCTTCCTGAAATTACGCTCAAATTTTTCTCTTCCTTTCGCTCCTTTGTCCTCCACCCCAATCCTCACTGACCCCAGGAGCTAGCGTTACCGGTGACTGGCATGAGGGAAACATACGAAGTTACTTGATCCGGATGAATTTTTTTTATCTACATTTCAATCCTAATGTTCCATTGGCTGTTCTTCAAGTGAAAATCGGTGATTTTTAGACTCATGGAAGCTGACAGCTGGAGGGAGTACAATGGTTAAAAAAAACGAAAAGACTGCAAATGCTGGAAACCTGAAACAAAAAACAGAAATACTGGAAAACCTCAGCAGGTCTGGCAGCATCTGTGGAGAGAAATCAGAGTTAACGTTTTGGGTCGAGTGACCCTTCTTCAGAACCATGATACAGTAGTTGTTGGGGGCAGGGTTGTATTATGTCTCTTCTTGGTTGTCCTGTACAAGTGGGATTAGCAAGTTTCTCCATTTCAAAAGGCATTATGACTCGAGCAGATTGTGTGGAATTAAAATAACATGGAGGCTTGAGTAAAGTTCTTGAATCAAAGCAAAATGTTGCAGATGCTGGAAATTTGAAATAAAAGGAGAAAGTGCAAGAGCAACTCAGCTGGATTGAAGGCATCTGAGCCTTTGTGAAGAACTCTAAATGTTAAATCTGTTTCTCTCTCCACAGACGCTGCCAGACCTGCTGAGTTTCTCTAGCAATTTTCTTCCTTTAGAATGGATAGCTATTTTTGGATGAAGGACCAGTGACTTGTTTTTTTTTTAACAACAATCTAACAGATTCCACGGTCACTTTATTTCTGATGCCAGTCCACAAATGACTAGATTTATTCGATCAGATTATTGTGGGATTTTGACTCCTGATCCTCTGGGATCTTATGGCCAAAGCCCTTATACTCTGCATTGTCAATGTGTAGGAATGATTCAGCCCATGGAAGACATTATTAGAGTAGATGATAGAGTCTGAGCAAAAGAATCACAGTTGAACTTGTTAATGCTGTGCGGGGAAAGTTCAAGCTATGGAGACCACCAGACCCCCTCATTCACACAGGAATTCGTGGGCGGGCTGGCTCTGTTCACCTATTGAAAGTTGTGAATTACTTGGTCCATTTTAGGCTGAACATCCTTAGAGGCTTAGCTGGTCCATCCCAGTGTTTACGCTCCACTACAGCTTTGTTGACTGCTCTACATTCCATTATCTCTCTCATGTTTACTACACTTCATTTTAAAGGCGTTTCCGCTATTATGTTGATCACTCTGTGGTCATGAGTTCTGCCTTCTTATCATGCTGTGGTCAGAGGAGTTTCTGCTGGATTTCTCATGGCATTTAAGAAGATAAAGTCGCCATAGTCCTACATGATCATGAGGCTGCTCTCTCATTACAGAGAGAGATGACTGATGTTGGTTTAACCTGAGGGTCACCACTGGTTGGGTGAGGAGAGAGATTGTGAAAGAGAGTCTTTCATAGTAATCTAAGCTGGTGTGGGAACTGAGCCCAAGCTGTTGGTTTCCCTCTATCTTGCAAACCAGCCCTCCAGCCAACTGAAAGTATCATCATCATCATAACCCTACAGTGTGGAAACAGGCCCTTCGGCCCAACAAGTCCATAACGACCCTCAGAGCATCCCACCCAGATCGATCCCCCTATAACTCACCTAATCTACTCATCCCTGAACACTACAGGCAATTTAGCATGGCCAATCCACCTAGCCTGCACATCTTTGGATTGGGAGGAAACTGGAGCACCCAGAGGAAACCTACGCAGACGCGGGGAGAATGTGCAAACTCCACACAGATAGTGGCCCGAGGGTGGAATCGAACCTGGGTCCCTGGTGCTATGAGGCAGCAGTGCTAACCACTGAGCCACCGTTTACTAACTTTATATTTCTGGTTCCAGCTTTTATTCACCTCACAAATGGAAACCTGTTCTTCCTCTACCCTCTTAAACCATTTCAGAAATTTCAAGATGATGATGGGGAAACTGTTGGCCTACGAGAGAATACAGTCCCATCCTGTTATCGTTCCTTGGATCTGGTAGCAAACTTGTAAATTGTTTACTACATTTTCTCCAGTATCTCCCTATCCCTTTTTAATAATATTGAGACCAGAACTCTGCACACTACTCAGTGTGGTCTGTCCAAATGTTTTGCGATATATGGGTTTACCGTAACTTTGCTTTTCAGTTATATCCCTTTAGATTTGTTTGCTTTTACACAGGGTTTTTTTTACTGCTATTTTATGGTTTTCCCATCTGTACAGGGTGATCTGTTTGCTTGTCTACAGTATTTAGACTTGTTTTCCCAGCAGTATGTGACCTCCTTGCTCTTGCTCACCAAAATGCACCATCTTGCTTTGATCTGTGTTGAAATTTATTTTGTTAATTGCAGGCGCATTCTGCCTGTCCTGTGTTTTGGGAGTTAGTAAGCTTTGGCCTTTTAGTAAGCAGTGGCTGTGCCACTGACCACCTCTAGCGCAGCAATTGTCTCCGAACCTCTGGGATAGTGAGGGGAATAACCACTGTGGGACTGTGACCTAACGTGAGCCCATCATACACCTTCCGACATCTCGTGGAGATTTAGTAACTGCATAGCACCAGGATCAAAACCCAGGATCTTCCTATCGGAGCTGTGTTTGGTGTTAGCATAAGTGCATTCCTTCAACTCCAACTCCAAGCCATTGTCGCCCCAGATTATTTTTCATCTTCTCCAGTTCTTGACACTGGAAAGCATTTTGACCATGTCCTTCTTGAATACCTTTTTACAGGTACCGGAGAGCGTGACGTCAAGGGAGGAGACGGATGAGTCTGTTAGCCTCAAACCCTCAAGTCCAACCATTCCAATGGATCCAGGTTTAAAAATTGAACTCTTCATGTTATGACCCTGTGGGCTAATGGGGTGATTTGATGGGGCCTGAAACCTGTTTTGCTTTATCTTTCTTGAGAGGCTGTTAACTTTATTTTTTTTAATGGGATCTTACATTGGCTTTGATAAAGGCGTTGAGGCTAAACCGATGTCAAGATTCTGCTAGTTGGGAATGAGATCAGAACAGGAAGGGACAGGGAATGAGGAACCCGTTAGCGCTGGGATGTGGAGGGAGGAAAGGACACAGGCAAATAACTCGGTGTTTCAGTTCGCATCAAAAAAAAAGGCCAATTTTTATTCTTTCATGGGGATGTGGATCCCACAGACAAGGCCAGCATTTGTTGCCCATCCCTAACTGCCCTTGAACTGAAAAGCTTGCTGGGTCATTTCAGAGTCAACCATATTGCTGGTCAGATTTGAGTAAAAATGGCAGATTTCCTTCCTTAAAGGACAGGGAGTATCAATTAATGCAATCAAAATTAATTGACATATCATCACCATTATACTAACTTTTAACTCCAAATTAATTAATTGAATTGAATTCACGCCAGTTTAAGTGATGAGATTTGAACTCCTGTCTCTGGTGTGTTAGATGGGGTCTGTGAATTTCTAGGATAGTGAGATTACCACTACACCACCCTGTCCTGCTCAGTGGACCCACGCTGATCATATGCCATCCTTATTTCCCCTCATCAACATGACCACTATTTTCTTCCAGTGTTTAACCAGCTTCTCGTAGATAGAGCTAATTTACCTCAATTATTTCACTTGAGCTCCATATTCTTTACACTCTCTCTATTTAAAGATATTTTTGTTTGGCTATTCTAAGAATCATCTCAGGTGTGGACAAATTTAGCGTAACTTGTCTGCTTTAAATTTCTTCCTTCTAGAAATAAGCCTTGAACAAACTAACTTGTTTGTTTTAATGACCTTTTCTGCATTGCTACAATTAATGATTTGTGAAGATGTAATTATAGCCAATTAGACATTTGCCATAAAAATAAATTTGCAGTTTGGATGGCATCAGAGAGATGGGAACCCAGATGTGTTTTTGTTGGTTGGAAGGGAGAAGCATTTCAGAAAAGCAAATGGGTAGAAGGTAAAATCATTCCTTTAACAAACAGCAGGAGAGTGTGACTATTGTTGCAATTAGACATCTACTAACGATATCCCAGGAATGTGTGACGTTGATGCTCAGCATTCCACTTGGAAGATTTCAGTTCAACCCTAATTCTGGCACCCTAATAATTGTTTTTCGTTTTATAAAATGAGACTGTCACAAGAAGAGTTAAGAGACTTACTGGAGACATAAATGAGTCATTTTCCCATCACATGAGCATGCTAAAATCTATAATTTCTCCTAAATAAAAACCAGAAGAACTGCAGATGCTGGAAATCAGAAACAAAAACAGAAGTTGCTGGAAAAGCTCAGCTGGTCTGGCTACCTATCTAAAGAAAAATCAAAGTTAACATCACCAGACTGTAAACATTAACTCTGATTTCCCTTCACAGATGTCGCCACACCTGTTGAGATTTTCCAGCAACTTCTGTTTTTGCCTATAATCTCTCCTGTAAATCGTAGGACTCTTGTCTGAGTCATCATGTTGTGACTTGGTCCTTACTCAGAGCCTTCACGAAATCTTAGTTAAGTGTATGGTTTTGAGATGAGATGAAAAAAGCCAAGGGTCTGTCTGCCATCTCAGGTGGCTATAAGAGATCATTGGTGTCATTTGGTGACCTGGCTAATTTCCTCAGTAATGTCACTGAAACGGATGGTCTGGTTTTTAGTATCTCCCTGTACGTGAGAGCTTTGTGTGTGCAAGTTGGTTGCTAAGTTCCTGCCTTTCAACAGTGACTATTCAAAAAGAGCCCTTAATTGGCTGAGAAGCACTTTGGGACATCCTGAAATTGTGTCAGGCATTATATGAGTGCATGTTTGTCTTTCATCTCAAATTCCTTTCTGGATTTGTGCAGCTCTCATCCTCCTGCTCTTGGAGATACTGCAGCAACTTTTAACCCCTTTCCTAACTCTCCTGTTCCTGGGATGGGACAAATTCACAATATTTTTCCCTCCTTTAAAGCATTTGAACTTTTTCTTCCCTCCCCGTTCCCAGACACCCATGAATAAAGTGCAGTCAAAGAGCATGCTCAGTTCAAGACTCCAATTCCAAACCTTTCCTCCTTCACAGGCAGTAGGCATTGGGATAGTTTAATGTCCACGTACTAATAAATACATGTTTTCCAATCTCCAGAAATATCTACCAAATTTCCATTCAGATGCAAAATGTCAAAACGGAAGACCATTATAACTGTGATCTTGGTCATTACAGTTATAGCAATTCTTGTGGTTTCCATTTACTTTGGTAAGTTGCTTTCCTTGTTCAAAATATTATTAAATGATCTTCCTCCTCGCCCTCTCTATTTTTTGCAGTTTGTTGTTTAAATTGCTGGCTCATGATCCTCTGGTTTTGCCCACAGCCAGGATAATTGACAATGTTAAGCAGCACAGAGCCTGATCTAATCCCTGTCTGAGCCTCACTGTCACACTGGGCGGATTTCCCAGTAAAGACAATGATCAGGATTGGTGCCACTGGAGAATTTTAAGCGACACCCCAAACCAGGGAGCGTTGAGGGTAGCTGATGTGGTTGCTGTCACCAAATCATAGGAACAGTAGGAGGCCACTCATCCCTTCCAGCCTGTTCCACCATTTAGTTAGATCATGGTTGATCTGCATCTCCACTCCATTTCCCACCAAATATCTAACTTTTGAACTCTTCAGTGGACTGCACCCCAACCACCCACCACCACCACCCACCCCCCCCCCCCCCCGCCCCCCCGCCCCGTGCAAAGAAGTTTTTGGGAACTGAGCCAGACGTTATCATAACTTTCTTGCATGGTTGCTGTGGGTTTAGTTAAAGTGTTAAGGAAATCAATCCCATTTACTGCTGCTGTTTGTCTGAATCATGCTACAGCAAAGGTCAGAAGTTGACCAGCAGGAAAGTTCCCCCATATCCAGGGGAAACAATTGATTCAGCTCCTGTGCTTTGTGCCCATTTGCAGACAGTAATCACTGGTCACCACTGGACAAAGGACTTTTGACTAACCTTAACCCACCCCTGTGTCATTTGTGCTGAATCAGTTTCTCTTGTTACTCTAGTCACCCCTCTGACACTGAGCTCAACTCGGATACTTCCCAATCTGGGCATCCTCTGGAAAGTCTCCAATGGCCTATGTATCCCATCGGAGCTTACTATTCAGGCTCACAGTGAGGAATCATTGCTCAGGCAAGGTGTCTTCGTTTTGAGCCTGCTGTGTTAGGCAAAGCTGTCCAGGGGCCTTGAGTTGTCCTACCAGTAGCTTCAGCACAACCAAGAGGCAGCTGACTTGATGTGTAACCAGTGCCATTCTCTCCCTTTTACAGTGAAGGTAGCCATCGATACGTATTATTACTTCTGCTCCAAAACTTTTAAGTTCATCCCTCGTGATTCCCAATGCAATGGAATCTTTGATTGTTCTGAAGGTGAAGATGAGCTGGAGTGTGTGATGAACATTACATTCAGAGACCCTTTCCCGAGTAAGTAAAGAGCCATCTAGTGTTGTCTGTTTTTCGAGATCGCTGTTTGTCTGATTAGAGGTGTGACAACCTGTGTTCCTTTCTTTTTCCAGTGCGAATCTATGGATCCAAATCCATCCTTCAAGTGAAGGATTCAGGAACCCAGCAATGGAACAGCATCTGTTATGACAACTGGCGACCCAGCCTTGCAGAAGTAGCGTGCAAGCAGCTGGGCTACTCAAAGTAATGCAAAAAAATTTCCAATCTGCTTCTGTCCTCATGCCTGTCAGCTCAGATGTTTTAAGCCCAAGCCATGTCTGTCCTCTTGGCTGGATGTTAACAAAATCCCACAACCACTTCCTTTTGTTTTAATTTGGAGAAGCTTGGGAAGGAGAATGTATCCTTGATGTGACCCAACACCACCTTTTAAACAGATTAAAACTATAATTTTAGCAAAAAAAACCGAAAGAGCCGCGGATGCTGGAAATCAGAAACAAAAACAGAAATAGCTGGAAAAGCTCAGCAGGTCTGGCAGCATCTGTGGAGAGAAACCAGAGTTAATTAAAGAAGTGTTCTGAGGAAGGCTCACTAGGCCGGAAACATGAACTGTGATTTCATTTGACAGATGCTGCCAGACCTGCTGAGATTTTCCAGCAATTTCTGTTCTTGTTATCGTATCATTTAGCCTTTTCTATTTGTGGGGCCTAACTATGCACAAATAATTAAACTCTGAAATTTGAAATATTTTTGAAATAATAATAACATGCTCTATTATTTCAATATTTTATGTGAACATAATTGGAGGTAAATTGTTGCATCATTTTCTCTTAGTCTTTCACTATCTGCATTTCTTTTGCAAACTCTTCGTATCCGCCTCACAAAAACAGATGGCAATGCAAGTTGTATCATCAGGTTGTGCTACTGACTGTCTATCCCTTCATCTGCATCATTCCTATACATTGTAAATAGCTGAGGCCCCAGCACTGATCCCTGTGCCTCTTCGTGAGTTATAGTTCACCAATCTGAGAATGACCCACTTATCCCAACCCTGATAGTTAACCAATCCTCTATCCGTAATAATGTATCACCCCTAACACCGTGGCCTTTCTTATTGGTTCATGGGATGTGGGGATCACCGGCTGGGCCAGTAATTATTGCCTGTCACTAATTGCCCCTTGAACTGAGCACCTTGCTAGGGCCATTTCAGAGGGCAGTTAAGAATCAACCATATTGCAGTGGGTCTGGAGTCACATATAGGCCAGTTCTAGTAAACCAAATGGATTATTGATGCCAACATTTCGCAGTGGCCATTAGAGTAGCTTTTGATATCATTTACTTGTGAATTCAAATTTTACCATCTGCCATGGTGGGAACTGAATCCATGTCCCCAGTGTCTTAGCCTGAGGTTTTGGATTACTAGTCCAGTGATATAACCACTATAACACTGTTTCCTCAACTTGTGGAGTTTTTAATGTGGCATGGTATCACATGACTTTTGGAAATCCAAATATACTACTAGCACTTGTTCCTGTTTTAACTACCCTGCTTGTTACATTGTCAAATAAAATTGTCAATAATAACTTCCCTTTCACAAACAAAAAATGTTAAAGAACTGCAGATACTGCAAATAAGAAACAAAAGCAGAAATTGCTGGAAAAACTGAGCAGGTCTGGCAGCATCTGCAAAGATAAATCAGAATTAGCATTTCGAGTCTGGTGACCCTTCATGACTGTTGGCGTCAGAAATGATGACTCTTTCTCTACACTGAGATTTTCCAGCAATTTCTGTTTTTGTTTCAGATTTCCACAGATGCTGCCAGTCCTGCTGAGATTTTCCCTGCAATGTCTGCTTTTGTTCCCTTTCTCAAAACCGCGTTGATTCAGCACTATTGTAAAAAGACATTCAAAATGTCCTACTACTCCATATTTGATCGTGGATTCTAGCTTTGAGATATGTCAGGCTGACTGGCCTATGTATTTCCCTCCTTTCTTGAACAATGGTGTTGCATTGCTGGTTTTCCAATTTACTAGGACATTTTCAGAACCTAGTGACCAGATCTTGATTTAAAACAGAATCTGGGGAATGTTGTTTTGCCTTAGCATCTGGAAGCACCTCAAAGAATGAGTTGCTTTGAAGATCAGTGACTTGGGGCGGCACAGTGGCTCAGTGGTTAGCGCTGCTGCCTCACAGCACTAGGAACTCGGGTTCAATTCTACCTTCGGACAACTGTATGTGTGGAGTTTGCACATTTCCTCCGGGTGCTCTGGTTTCCTCCCACAGTCCAAAGATGTGCAGGTTAGGTGGATTGGCCATGCTAAATTGCTCATAGCGTTCAGGGATGTGTAGATTAGGTGGGTTATAGGGGGATGGGTCTGGGTGGGATGCTCTGAGTGTTAGTGTGGACTTGTTGGGCCGAAAGGCCTGTTTACACACTGTAGGGATTCTGTGATCTGTGACTGTTAGACAGGCCAATACATGAGGCAGGTTGTGCTTAGTATGATTTCATATCATTAAGCAGATGAGCATGCAGTTAACAGTCACTAAAGGACAATGGAAAGACTTTTTCAAAATGCCATGGGATTGTTAACATCCATTCAAGATGCAGGCTGAACTGAGCTGAAAGATTTATAGTTTAAACGTTACCTCGTTGCATTCTTTTTAACAAATGATCCCTCACTGTAAGATCCTTTATACCGGGATCCAGCTGATCAAAAGATCAGGGTAGAATAGAGTTGATGATGAGTCACAGATGTTTAATGTGCATTCAAAGTTATGTCATAGTGAAACATCATGATTTACAGGACATGACATGAGAGATTTGAAGACATTGATGAATAGAACACTGATGTCTTTGACACAGTGTATGGTAACAGTAAAAGGTCTTGTGCAGTGGGTAGTGTCCCTGCCTTTGAGCCAGAAGCTCTGGGTCCAAGTCCCACTCCAGGACATGACAACCACCAAAGGTGAGCTTCTGACATGGCCAAACAGGTTGACCATCAACTTGTAAATCCCTCTAATACACAGCAAAGGCAGGATAGATTCCTGATCACTCTCGTGATGTAGCTGGGTGACTAATGTAGATCAGATTGGTGCCAACAGCTTGGTGGTTTGAGCCCTATTCTAACTGGAGTGAACTGGGGACTGTCTCCTTGCTTTCCAATGGTGGAGGTCATGATGTTAGGTCTGCCTTCCTTTGTCCAAAGAACTGAAGAAGCTGGCAGCCATAATAATAGGGACATGTAAGACCTTGAGCTTTGTCGATTGAGAGTGCAATCAGAAATGAAGCGGGTCGATGGAGATTGCACAGAATTCTGGTCTGGCTTCTCTTCAGATACAGATAGGCATCACAGACTGCCAGACCTTGGGAAAGGTGACTGCCTGCTGCAAACTGGCATGGGAAAACTGAGTTAGGAGGAGAGGCTATAGAAACTGGGCAGCAGGAGAATAGAAATTCAGTCACCCAAACCCTCCAGAAGTTGGAATGGGCCAAAGTTTCTGGCCTAGTCAGTGACACCTATGTCCTGTGAGTGAAGTTTTAAACAAAAAATAGATCTGCAAAGTGCAACTCCAAGTAGTTTGTGCACTGTTACTGGGTTTTTAATGTTAAGAATTCTGATGTCAGTCACATTGTCAAATCGCATCAAACTGGATCTTGAATTGAGCAAATGCACCAGAGTTTCTGCCAGCAGTGATGTACTGGCTATGATGTACTGACCATGTTTGGAAGGTTTTAATGAATGAATGTTATTGCTCTGCAGTAGCCCTGTGGGTAGTCCTGTGGACAAGAGACTCTGGCCCTCGCACAAGATAATCGACTTCAGCAAAGTCACCAACCCTGTCTCCATTCAGAATGTGTTGATGGAAGGGTGAGTACAACCTGGTGTTTGTAACCCTCAATGAACTGATGTATAGCTGAGGAGGAGTTGATGAATTTATTTGGAATTATGTTCGCCTTAGTTTATATCAGGTCTAGGTTCCACACTTAAGCGTGAGGGTGATGGGATTTTTTACTGAAGTACCTTAGGTTCTGATTTACAAATGGAATTTTCCTTGACACGTTCCTGAGATTAAACTCAGATTAGGGAAAGTGGGTGCTTGAGACATGTTTGTTTCTGAATGCACCTCTCTCTAACTGGGAGCAAACCATTAGTCATTTAGATCTGGCGTGGGTCATGCTGTGATGGGGCTTTGAAGGACCTTTGTAGAACATAGAACATAGAACATTACAGCGCAGTACAGGCCCTTCGGCCCTCAATGTTGCGCCGACCTGTGAAACCAATCTGAAGCCCATCTAACCTAAACTATTCCATTATCATCCTGAACTGTGTAAAGAGCATTGTGCTAATTTTCTCCTTGACCTGAAGGATATTGGTTTCCCTGTATAGAACCTACCTGGTTCTCATTCCTTTTTGAAGTAGAGAGAAATTGTAGGTCAAGCACCATTCTCAAAGACTTTGCAAACAGTCCAGAGTGTTAATTCACTTTCTTCTTGTTTATATTGACAGAACTTTGGAAAAATTGTTTGATATAAAATTAACATTTGAAGGAAGGATTCAGGATTGTTGCAGACTAGTCTCCTCCCTTACCTCATCGCTTCCACCATCCTTCATTGCTACTTTGGTAGAAACCTCTTTCCTCTTATAGATTTATAAACTGAATACCTCTTTTGAACTTAAAATAGCAGACTAAAGGCTCAAGACTATTTTGACATCTTTAGAAGATTATTTTACTATTAAATTGGATGTGGGCATTTAAATGGTCATTGGATAAACATATGGATGATAATGGAATAGTCTAGGTTAGATGGGCTTCAGATTGGTTTCACAGGTTGGCGCAACATCGAGGGCCAAAGGGCCTGTACTCCGCTGTAATGTTCTATGTTCTATGTAACTAAGGGAACGCCGCTAATCTGATTTATGTAAACAAAAAAAAAAACCCTCTACCTCAGAAGTTTGGTCACACTCGAGTTGTTCTTTTCCTTTTGGAGAGAGGGTGAAAATGTTCACTCACCCATGTGAGAGGGGTTGACATTGAGAATGAATATTTTGCCTTTACAGATTCTCAGTTTTGCAGTAAGATCCTCCCAGGTAAATTAATACACACTCCACTATCACAAAAGCTTCACCTACACTGTTCAACCACAATGTCCAGTCTCATGTACCAAAACTCTGAACATATTCCTGCAGGTTTCCCCACATATATGTATACTATTTTCAATCATCTTAGCATCACACTACTGCCATCAGTTACCCCATGTGTGTGTGTGTTGTCAGTGCAATGCCTTCCCAAACTAACTAGAATATTCTTCACCAGTGTTCTGACAGGACAATATTTGACTATTAGTCCAACTGATCTTTTATCTGACTTTTTTACAATTATTAACCAAAAGCATTTCATAGAATCACAGGATACAAATAGTACAGAAAGAAAGTATTTGGCCCATCAAGTTTGCAGTGATCCTCAGAGGATCTCACACCTACCCCATAACCCCACATGGGGTTTATACCATTGCTCACCCACCTAACCTACCCATCCCTGAACACTGTGGGACAATTTAGCATGGTCAATCCACCTAACCTGCACATCTTTGGACTTCGGGAGGAAACCCACGCAGACACGGGGAGAATGTGTGGAATTTGCACAGTTGCCCGAGGGTGGAATCGAACCTGAGTCCCTGGTGCTGTGAGGCAGTCCCAATGTCTTTAAATATCCTGATGACGTGGCTGAATTTGCTTCTAGCAGTGTTTATAAAATTCATCAGTGGTTCTTGGGCAGCCCCAGATGATTGGAAATCCCAGTCCGTTTCCTGGTCTCTTAACAATTGCTGCACTATAGCAGCGCAATAAGTCTCTCTCCCCAGGCATCCTGTGACTTGCTTCACCTGAATGTGGTTGCTGAGATGTTTTTGAATATGTTCTAATGTTGGATCATGGAAGAACAACCTATGTGAAGTTTAGGATTGTTCCAGATTAATTTTTGATTTTTATTTTTGTTTTTTTGCAACCAAGATGTAGTTAAAGGTAGAAGATTTCACACCAAAACTGTAAAATAGCACAGCAAAGATTGAGACCATTCAGCCCATCAATCCTCGACCAGCTCTTTTGAAGAGTGATACAGTAATACAGAGGGCTGTTGTGGGTTGCAATGGGACATTGACAGGATGCAGAGCTGGGCAAAGAAATGGCAGATGGAATTCAACCTGGAAAAGTGTGAAGTGATTCATTTTGGAAGGTTGAATTTGAATGCAGAATACAGGGTTAATGGCAGGATTCTTGGCAATGTGGAGGAACAGAAGGATCTTGGGGCCCACGTCCACAGATCTCTCAAAGTTGCCACTCAAGTTGATAGGGTTGTTAAGAAGGTGTATGGTGTGTTGGCTTTCATTGGCAGGGGAATTGAGTTTAAGAGCTGTGAGGTTATGCTGCAGCTGTTTAAAGTCTTGGTTAGACCACACTTGCAATATTGTGTTCAGTTCTAGTCACCTCATTATAGGAAGGATGTGGAAGCTTTAGAGAGGGTGCAGAGGAGATTTACCAGGATGCTGCCTGGACTGGAGGGCAGGTCTTATGAGGAAAGGTTGAAGGAACTAGGGCTTTTCTCATTGGAACGAAGACGGATGAGAGGTGACTTCATAGAGGTGAACAAGATGAAGAGAAGCATAGATAGAGTGGATAGCCAGAGACTTTTTCCCAGGGCGGGAATGACTATCACGAGGGGTCATAATTTTAAGGTGATTGGAGGAGGGTATAGGGGAGATGCCAGAAGTAGGTTCTTTGCACAGATGGGTGGGTGTCCTGCCAGCTGTGCTATTAGAGTCATACACATTAGGGACATTTTAGCGACACTTGGATAGGCACCATGGATGACAGTAAAACGTAGGATATGCAGGGTAGTTTGAACTTAGAGTAGGATAATAGGTTGGTACAACATCATGGGCTGAAGGGCCTGTACTGTGCTGTACTGTTCTATGTTCTAATCTCATTCCCTTAGCCTTATCTATACTCCTGCAATTTCTAGTCTTCAATTATCCATCCAATTCCCTTTAGGAAAGTTCTTATAGAAACATCTCCTCCCGCCTTCTGCTATAAGAAAAATGTTGTGTAACTTGAAAGGGTTCAGAAAAGATTTGCAAGGATGTTGCGAGGACTGGAGGGTTTGAGCTATAGGGAGAGGCTGAATAGGCTGGGGCTATTTTACCTGGAATGTCGGAGGCTGAGGGGTGACCTTATAGTGGTTAATAAAATCATGAGGGGTATGGATAGGATGAATAGCTAAGGTCTTTTCCCCAGGGTAGGGGAGTCCAAAGCTAGAGGTCATAGGTTTAAGGTGGGAGGGGAAAGATTTAAAAGGGACCCAAGGGGCAATGTTTTCATGCAGAGGGTGGTGCGTGTATGGAATGAGCTGCCAGAGGAAGTGGTGGAGACTGGTACAATTACAACATTTAAAATCATAAAGAGCTTTGATCAAATAAGAGCTGTTTCTAGCATCTGAAAATCAACCATCAGACGGCAGAAATTTAAAGTTATTTACACTGAACCAGAGGCAATGAGGAAATCCAACAGAGCCAGGTTTGACATGGAGTCATACAGCACCTAAACAGACTCTTGCGTCCAATTCATATGAGCTGACCACATATTCTATATTGATCTAGTCTCATTTGCCATCATTTGGCCCATATGCCTCCATCAGAACACAGGGACATAAGAGATAACACAGCGTGGAGCTAGAGGAACACAGCAGGCCAGGCAGCATCAGAGGAACAAGAAAGCGCCTCTGAATATATGAATAGGAAGGGGATAGAGTGGAGGTTGTTTTTACCAGTGGGTCAAACTAGAACTAGGGGGCACAGCCTCAATATAAGGTTGGAGCAGATTTGGGACTGAGCTGAGGAGGAACATCTTCACCCAAAGGGTTGTGAATCTTTGGAATTCCCTGCCCAGTGAAGCAGTTGAGGCTACCTCGTTGATTATTTTTAAGGCAAGTATAGATTTTTGATCAGGTGAAGAGTGGGGTGGCTAAGTGGAGCTGAGTCAGTGTCAAGATCAACCATTATCTTATTGAATGAAGGAGCAGGCGTGAGCAAACATATGACCTATTCCTGTTCCTGTTTCTTATGTTCCTGTAGAGATAGTAAGAACTGCTGATGCTGGAGTCAGAGATAACA